TTAAACCTTTATTACAAAAATTACTGTTAAAAATAAATAATTACAAGTAACTTTTTCACTTAATCTTTCGAGAACTTTCTTGCTGTAGTACGTAGGCTGCTGGCAAAGTTTCTGCAAACAATATGAAAAAAAACATAAAATTCGTAAAATTCGGTAAATGGCTTTATTGTTTTTAGTAGTATTGTTTTTAGAAGTATTCGCGTTTAAGATCGACATTTTTGCATACGCTCGAACCAATTCTCAAAGCATTTTTTCCACTCTGAGACTGTAACCTCAGAAATCAGTGTACAAAATGTTTCAACAGCTGCTTCAGGCACTGGCGGCTCAAATCGCTCTCCACGCATCTTCTTTTTAATGTTTGGGAACAAAAAGAAATCATAGGGGATAAATAAGGTGAATACGGACAATAAGTCATCAATGCGACATTTTTACTGGATAAAGAATCAACAGTTTGACGTGCTGTGTGACAGCTGGCATTGTCATGATGAAGGATGATGAGATGATTTCGATTTGTTCTACACAATTCATTTATGATTTCTGGCAAACAAATTGTTGTATACTAATCTGTATTTACAGTCCTTCGATCCTCTAAAGTCACGATTCGCCACATATCCGGTATAACTGAAGAAACAAGCAACCATTTGCTTGTCAGCATTGCGTGAACAAACAACTTTGGTTGGTTTCGATTCATTTTGAAATACCCCAACAGTGGATTGTTGTTTACTTTCGGGCTCATACGAATTCATAGATCCATGTTTCGTCCCCAGTAACGATATTGTAGACCAAATTTGATCGACCTCGGTTGAATTTCTTGAGCATTTCTTTGCTCTTTAACACGAGCCTGTTTTTGAGTTTCGGTCAAATTATGTGGGATCCAACGATTGCAAAGTTTCCATACGCTCATGCAAGTGATCATGCAAAATCGTATATTTGCTCATGTCAATGCCTAAGGATGCCTGAATCTCGCGGTATGTTATATGCCGATCTCGCTCAATCATTTCACGCACAGCATCAACATTCGTGCAACAACAGACGGATGGACAGAATCTTCACGGAATTCGTCACAAAGAAAAGTACGTCAACGCTGGAATTCGGCAAACCAATTATAAACAGTCCTATTGGATGGTGCTTCATCCCCAAAAGCTAAATGAAGTCGATCGATGCATTATTTCGGAGTTAGATTACATTTGTAAAAAATCATTCCCCGAAAATTTTTACGCAAAATTTCCATTTTCTCACAAAAGTAACTTCTTTTAAAATACTATGCAAATAAAACTAGTTGGCTTGGATACAAACTGTCAACTGAATTATAAGTTAAAAACGTCTAATTTTACGGATGTGATAGCAGAACATTGGCGCCACTGGAAGTATTAGATTGCAGAAACTTTTCCAGCAGTTTACGTATTCTGATTCGCGACACCCTGTATAACTATATGTACATTAAATTAATTTTTATATGGTTACATGCATATACAATATTATTTATCTATTATATTAAAATAATAAATAAATAATATCAGGTGTAGTAAAAAGAAATCCATTATTTTTCCAATAGATGGCTTTAGTAATCTGTATCTCGTATAATATAATATATTAATATAATATATTATAATAATAATATATATATTATAAATATATAATTCATAATAAAAATATTGCCTCGGCCGGGCGTCGAACCCGGATCTCTTCTCACAAGTCTCTAAAGATTTAGGACACGGAATGCAAAAAATCCAGGACTTCGACTTCCGGCAATATTTCAAGGCAATATTTTTCGCAATAAGTTTATTACAGTTTTTTAAGATTAAATTTGGGAAATTTGGGAGGGGGGATTATTAATATTTCAGATTGATTACGTTGAAAGTCCGACAACCAATTATCGGCATACAATTATCATTTCTGAAATTAATTCATTTATATGAATATACAGGGTATGTCACCAAAATCCGAACAAATCAAACATTTTTTTAAACAAAATGTTTTTAATGAAAAATTAAATACTAAAATAACCATTTTACATGGCACTTAGGGGAGCACAATTATTCGATATATCCCCCATTAGCTTGAACGGCCTCTAATCTCGATCTGAAGCGTTCGCACGCACGTTGTAATGTAGCGCTGTCCATGCCGACGAATGCTGCCTCAATAGCAGTCCTTAATGACGTCACATTGGGATGCTGAGACTTATTTGTGACCCTTTCAATTATGTTCCATACATAGTAGTCCAAGGGATTTAAATTTGAGCTGTTGGGAGACCAGAATAGGAGTCGTGGCGAGCAACTTGTCCTGGCAACCTCAGAGAGATCATCTATCGTATCTTTAATGTGTACGATTTATATCGAAGATCTTCCTCGGCAATTCGATGCATTGTTGGCTTGCTTATACCAACAATCGATACTAATTTTCGCAACGATTACCCTGAATCATCCGAAATCAGCGCTTGAGCCCTTTCAACTACGAGGGTCTTCGCGGTGCGTTCTTTTGAGTGACTCTTCCTCGCTGGCATACTGGAACCATCGTCGTACTGTTCTAAAGCCGTATATTTTGGCACAATATCATAAACGGTTGATCTCGGGTATCCAAAGAATCAAATCATTTCCATTGTTGAGCGCCCAGCGCGAAGGCCTTCGGTGATCACGGCTCTTCGATTATATTTCGCACTGATTTTAACATCGCGGCCATTTTGAGAATATGACTGTTTACTAGAAGTATCAGGTTTTCTCGGACGCCAACAATCTCTGGCGGAGGCACAATATAGCGGAAAATTTAAATTGACATTTATCCGGATTTTGGTGACGCATCCTGTATATAATATAATAATTCAACATCTTAATATTCAGACCATAGTGGCGCTTCGTATTTAAAGTAATGTATTCAATATTATATGCTGTATAGGTACTGAAGAGGACCCAAATCTACGGTCGAAACGTATGCGCATTTTTTATACCATTGCGAATTTTTCTACTGTGCACTATTTCGATTTTATCATTGTAATGAACAATAATCATTTACATACTTCTTGTGTTGGCTCATTTACAGGTAGCTTCTACGTAATTGATTTATTCATTCATAATTGTTCATTAAATTATAAAGTGAGTGAAATGACAATACGATTTTAATAGCAACAATGAATTCTTTTTTCGGTAGTTTTGTAAAATTTTGTATGTATTCCCATCTCTTTTCAATATCAACAATCGATAAATTTAAAAGAACATTTCTAAAAAAAAATATAACATCAACGAGCACGTCAGACTCACCCACATTAATTCCAGAAAGCCTATTATAACGTTCAGTTATTATTGATATGTAGTTGACAAATATTGTGTATAATTTCGTTTTTGTTCGATCTCCTTTTATTTATTAAGTTGCAAACAAATAGAGATCGATGACTATTAAATCGCTTTTTCATTATCATTTCTTAGCTTAATTAACAAATACGAGTGTATAATTTCGTTTCCATCCAATCTTTTTTTGTTAAATATTTAGTTGTATTCAAAGTGCAGAGAATAGCTGCTTTCGACATTGACAGTGTTTAAAAAAAAAAATCGCTTCTTGCATTCAATATGCTAGTGCATTTTTGCGTCAAAACGTTCAACAGTACATTCAGGATGATGAATAGGAACAACATGATCATGATAACGACGACACATCTTAAAAAGTTTCTTATTAGAACTTTGCGTCGCAATATCTCCGCTCGTAGAGTATGTAAAAAAAAAAAACAAAAGCACAATTCGAGTGGAAGCTATCGATTGAGCGTGCATAGAACTTGATCAGTTTAGCTGTTATTGAGATTCAATAATTTCGGTTTCCCGGAATTCGCAGTTTTACGTAAAGAAACACGGTAGTGTCACTGCGTTTGTCTTAGCGCTAAGACACTACCGTGTCTCCTGATCATTATTACATTATTAAATTCTCATTCCTTTCGATAACATCGCGCGATTTGTAATTTGATAATTCAGGTTCTTTTACAAACGTTATTGTGAATTTTCATTGTGAAATGAGATACATTCTTATAATTTTAATTTGAGTTATTCAAAATTATGTTATGTAACAGAACATTGCTAAAGTGAAAATTTCACTAAACATAAAGAGCAGTGAGAAATGACGTCAATTTGATTTAGGATCGACGTTAAAGTTATCAATTTGATGACGAATCGACGTTGATTCGACATCGAATTAATGATAGTTTCTTAATGGAATAAGATTTGAATGTTACTTATCTTTAGATTTTTTGTTAAATTATGTTTTAAGTTATATTTAAAAAATTGTTTTTAAAATAATTGTAAATCAACCAAGTGATGGGCTTACACGTGTTGTGCTGTGGAGCGCAAATTCATGATTGCGACTTTTAACAATATCCAAGATTTGTAAAGATTTTTTTCACTGTTGAGGTGGTGTCAAAATAGGACCGAAATATTCGGAAGGACTGTATTATAATTGATCACATTATATTGATGTTTAATTATTAATGCTATTGAAATTTGTACGCACTAATTATCGCGTTGATTACTTTTAATTCTCTATGAACTTTTTCTTATTACTTTTATTGTTTTGTTTGTATATAATAATTATATTCATCAAGTTCTTCATCGTAGATTTTCACAATTGTAAAGTAGCATGGACTCATTTTATATAATTATATGACAGGTTTTCCGTGAATTTAATATGTAAGGCAGCTGGAAATATTGCTTTGCATTTTAATCCACGACTGGACAGAGGATATATTGTCAGAAATACAAGAGTGCGTGGATCTTGGGAGGATGAAGAGACTTGTTCACCTGCAGGTTCAAACGGATGTATTTTCCGTCGAAATACCTATGCACATCTTATGATCTTCTGTACAAACGACGCATTTCAGGTAAGAAGTAATAATTCTTAAAAAAGTTAAAAAAAGATGCTCAGAATATACGTGCTCCTCGAATAAAACCTAAATTAATCGATCCAATTAATAGTAGTTTTAATTATTTTTCAAGGATATTTTTATTGAAGAGTTTTTTATTCCATTGATATCAACAATTGATATCAACAATTGGTGTCAACAATTAGCATCAATTAAATCTTATACCAAATTTGATAAAGTATACAATCCATAATTGCTTTATCTTATCTATTCAAGTGTTAACACAAAAAGTTAAAGAAGTAAACACTTGGCGCTGTTAAATCGAATAATAAAAACGAAATCAATTCAAAAATTACAACATTAAAAAAATTAAAAAAAAAAATTACAATTTTAATGCAAGATAAATGTCCCAATTAATGGCAATCGTGACTATTTTTCTCAATAAATCAATTAATATAGATCAATGTGTATATATTAATTCTAAAAAATATGTTAATATTCAAAATCATATATATCTACAACGAATTTTGAATAAAAGTAAACGCTTTTGTAAATGATAAAATATTATAATTGTAAGCATGTTATATTAACGATGGCAAATCTAACAGATGCTCACTAACAGCTTGTGAGGCAATAATTATTATATATTGACGGTCCTTTCGTCGAATAATTCTAACTATTATCAAACTAAAAGTAAATAAAAGTAAGCATGCCCAAAATTAAATAGATATTAAAAAACATTGTGAATAAACTGAAAACGTCACAAAAATACAAATATTTTGTTAATTAATGCATGTGTCACTAATACTAAAATATTTATTTGTTTTAATTACTGATATTTTTAACAAATATGATATGAAACAATGAAAACGTTCTATCTAAAAAAAATGTAATTTATAAATATCAATCCCCTGATAAAAAAACGTCTCTGAAAACTTCGTTGAAAATGTCTGAAATCATTTTTCAGAAATTTTAGTGACATTCAGAGACTTTTTTAAAGAAATTGATTATCAGAGAATTTTTCAAAAGTCATCTCCAAGTGTCTAAAAATCTCTGAATTTCGCTGAAACTTTCGAGAATTCAGTGATGTCTCTAAAGATAGAATTTTAATAGTATCTTACTTTTCAAAGGCTTTCAGAGGATTCCTTTGAAAATCATTTTCAAGGATCTAAATAATCCTGAATTTCACGCGAATTCAATAATGTCTCTGAAACTAAATAGGTATAAATAATATGCTTTATCAGTTGAAGAAGTGGTGTATAATGTAGGAGACTTATAATCCAGAAGTCCCAGGTTCGAATCTCATTAGGTAAATGTATTTTTCAAAATAATTTCGGATAAAATCATTACATATATCTTGTATGGAACAATTTCTGTTAAATGAAGAAACAAAATTTATAAGTCTTAATATATAAATTTTTTTTCAAATATCACATTGAAAATGTCTGAAAAATTCTAAAAGTCTATGAATATATTGTAAAAAATTTTATGAAAATCTTTAAAAGTAACTGAAATATTCTGACAAATATCTAAATTTATATTGAAAAATTCTCTGAAAAGCTCTGCAACGTGTCCGAAAATATGGATATTTTTAGGAAAATTTTCAGACTTTTTCAGAAAAATTTTCGGAGAAATTCAGAGAAATTTTTTTACCAGGGTGATTATTAAATTAAGAAATGATATTAATATCGTAACTTATAGTCTTCCAGAATTTAAAAAATATATAAATATGAGTATCTAATCTATGAATTATCTTGCTTAAATTAGTAATAGGGATGATTTTGTATCAATTTGTGATAACCGGAACAGTTCCTAACCTAAGACGGGAGCATATTTTCATGAGTTAAATTGTTTAATTCCAATGTTTTAATCAAATTAATGACATATATTGAGTATGAATAGTGGCAATCTATACGATTAAAAATAATTCAAATTAAATATAAGATTATTTAATTCTGTCAGTAATAAAGACGTTCCTATGCTACGCGACGCGTCAATAGTAAGGACATTTTATGTTAACATCATCTATCAGTGATATGGATTAACATGCGTCACAAATTGGAACAATTTCGAATACATGTGTCATTAAATGGTACAAAAACAACGTTTATAAAAATATAATAAATAAATTAAGAATTCCTAAGAAAATAACAAAATTTAATATTATCATAATCTTAAATGTCAAAACTTTTTAAAAAAATTAATTTCATGTATTTATTATGACATACGTATAATTATAATTTATTAATTCTCTTTTGTCTCAAAATAACTTTGTCATTAATTGGGATATTTACCTTAATGAATTTAATCTGAATGTTACACCGAATCAAGCTAAAGTTTACCGTTTATTCCTTCTTTATTCCTTTTTTCTTTTTCATAACACAAGTTTTATTACTCCAAGTTTATTTGTATTACAGTAAGATTTAAATCTAATAGTTTGCATAACTTTCGTTATTTACACGACTGTTTAATTATTGAATATATACCTATGATGAATACTTTTATTTTCATGGGAAAGTTTTCATTTTTCTTATTTTAAATATTACATTCATGTTTTTAGCATTATGTTATACCTTGAGCAGCATCAAGTGTTTACTTTTTTAACTTTTTTTGTGGAAACACTTGAATGGACCAGACAATGCAATTATGGATTGTATTTATTATTTAATTTGGTATGGGATTTAACTTTTTTTTATAGAATTTAATTTAGCGCCAGTTGTTGAAAATAAATCTTTTATACAAATAATACGTATTATTAGGGTTAAATAAATAAAAAAGATAGTACCACTATTTTTTCACTTTTTAATTTGATAAAATTTAACTTGATTAGTTAAAACATCTGAGTTTTAATTTTTCATTGGTATATTAGTTTTTTTCGAGGAGTAATAATATTTGACAGAGAACTTTGGAAGAAGAAGACCTTCAAAGAATATCTTTGAAGAAGAATTAAAACTACTATTACTTGAATTGGATACTTAGATTATATTCGAGAAGCACTTATATTCTTAGCGCTTCTTTTTTAAAAAATTTGTATTGATATCACGTACTTTGCAATGATGAATATCTTCTTATGAACAGTTTATCTTGCAATTAATCTTATGAAATAGATTTTCATATGTTGGACGAAATTTAGTGAAAGCCGAAATTGAATCTTATTTACTCTTTTTTTGTGATATAAATTTTTATATAATATATTTTTATATAATAAGTTTTAAAAAAAGGAGAATTAAAGATATATTTATAATACTTGAGTCGTAAAAATGTAAAAACGACGTTATTTGTATTTTTTGAAGAACAATAATTAATAAATACAAGCGTATAATTTGCAGTATAAGTATTAAATTTTATGTATATTTTCGAGTAGGTAAATAAGGGGGATTCCAATTCCGGAACTCCGAGGGGGGGGTGAGAGATGGGAAGGTACCCGCGGGAGGGGGAGGTCCATGGGAAGGGGAAGGATGACGCCACTAGGCGAGGGGATGACATCACAGGGGAGGGGGAGGAGGGATGACGTCGCAGGAATGGCGGTATGGAAGACGAGGATGTCCCGGGTACGGGAAATTACGTAGCGGAAAATTATGTAATGGAAACTTGCATCCGCGTCGCAGTAAAGACGTGGCGCGGGGTCAATGGCCGCCAGGCGTGATCCGCCGCCGCTACCGCCATCGATCTTCGCCGCCACCGGACGTAGTCCGCCGTCTGTCCCTACCGCCGCCTCCGGACGCGGTCCGTCGCCGGTCCTCACCGCCACCACCGAACGCGATACCCATCGCACACACTATACATACTATGTATACTTAACATGTATACTTACCATCTCTCAAGTGTCGCCATCTTTTTGTTATGTAATCTTTCCTTCAGCGTTTATAACATGCAGAAATATCTTTTATTCTGCCGAATTATATTATTATTTTAGAGAGCGCGATGATACGGTCGCGCGCGATGGTATCGCGCGTGATGACACGCGCGTAATACGATGCCGCGAAGAAGAAACAATTAATTGCAGACACAGAGATATTTTTAGACACAGAGACATATTTATTTATGTCATACTTAATATTTATACCGTATTTCATTCACAGCTTCCTAATCGTTCCTGATACGGACCATTTTCGAAATTAAGTTAATCTATATATGTATATTTATTTATTTTTATCTACATATATTTTTTATCTGTGCGTGCGTGCGTGCATGCATGTGTGCGTGTGCAATGAGTATGTATTGTCACGTTCAGATTTTGATCTCTGAGACGCGGGGCGCTAGGACCTGTTGATCTCTCGATTCGTGCTGTAATAATTACGCGGAGTAACCGAGGATAGAAAGAGGGAAAAAAAAGAAAAGAAAAAAAAACAAAAGCAAGATCTGTTCTCCGGGATGATTCCTTTTATTCTGCTCTAAGATTTCTTAACTATACGGATTGCTCGTGGAAGATGGCTTCGACCTTCACGATGCACGGCTCTCTACAGCACATCGGCTCTCTCTGGGCGAGCGAAGTGGTTTCCCAGTACGGAGTGGTACTCCGGACTCGGGTAGATCCACGACGGGTCCGAGAATACATGCGGGTCGAATTTCTCGGAACGGTGATATTCGCGCGTCAGCCTCCTATAAGTGACCTCGCGGCCCTCGGCGCACACGTGGCATTCGTTGCTCCTGCGAACATCGCTATCGTTTTAATTTTTACACTTGCGTGGTGAGAGTGCCGCGGTACCTCACAGAGTCGGGCTATCGCTGAGGCTCTTGTTAGAAGAGAACTGCGTCCTCCGATAAGGGAGCCACAAGGTAGTAAGTGAGGAGGCCGGCACCCCTTTTCCTTTGTGGGGGTAGCTATCGAGGTTGGGACGAGTGATGGGGATTTGAGTGTCAAGATGGAGCGGTGGGGGAGCTTTAGAGGAGCTCTTGCGTCCCCGCTCGGATCGACGGTTCTGTTTCGAGCTCTCAGGCGACTGAGGAAAGGAGCGCTGGCGAGTGCTTAAGAACGCCGGAATATGAAGGGCGTGAGGAGATGGAGGATTGCGCGCTATAACAGTGTGCTATTGCAGGTAATAGATCGTCGCTCGGTGACATGGAAGGGTGCACTAAGGACGCGAGTCGCGGAAACGTGTTCTGCGTTAGGCTTAGCACTCTTACACACTGACACTTAAGGGA